ATTCCACATGAAAAATGTAAGACGCGATGGCGTGAGTCGTGAACTCGCAATGCCCAGCTCTAGTTTAAAGTAACATTACAAATAAGACAAACGGAAACCAACACAACATGGAAATAGAGGGAGGGAAAGGATGCGCGTTAACGACGGCGCAGAGATACAACTATTCGTACTTGATGGACGTCCGTGCCGCGTCTGAAAAATTGAAGGCGCGATGACGCGAAGCGTGAGTTCTCAATGCTCTGCTATATGCTGCCAATGAGGTGTCGCTCAGATTCGGGAGAAAAGTTAAAAAAGAGGTCCGAATACATCTCTCCTACCTTCGGCTGTGTTATTCACGTAGTGCTTGAAGCACCATTACAAATGAGACAAACGGAAACAAACACAATATGGATAGGGAGGGAGGGAGAGGGTGCGCGTTTACGACGGCGCAGAGATACAACTATTCGTACTTGATGGACGTCCGTGCTGCATCTGTAAAATTGAAGGCGCGATGACGCGAAGCGTGAGTTCTCAATGCTCCGCTATATGCTGCCAATGAGGTGTCGCTCAGATTCGGGAGAAAAGTTAAAAAAGAGGCCCGAATACGTCTTCTTTGTCGTCGGCTGTGTTGATACTCGTTATCTCTTATTTTTTCAGGTTCTTGTCTGATTATTTTTTAGGATGGATTTTTAGACCCACGTCTTAAGCTCGTGTAAACTGCAGCACTGGCGCGGTTCTCATGGAAATAATTGTGCTTGGATGCTTCTAAAGGCTTTAATTTTTTATATTTTCTTAAATTTTAGAAGTCTGTCCGTCACTTCAATACGTTCAATTTCACAATTTTTACTCAGTACGATCAATATACTTTGAACCTGAAAATAGCGTAAACTTGTGCGGTTTTGCCAAAATTTTCTGAACCCCTCTCCACGAAGGAAATGCTCGTAGGAAACTCAAATTGTGGTAATTGTTACACAAGTTTTGTCAGTCAAGTAGGAGTGAATTTCAGGCTTTGGCAGTAAACTCAGTGCTAGTTTTGATCAAAATAAGTAACGAATTCATGTAGTAGAAGACCCTATCCAAATTTTTCAGGTTTTTTCAATAAAAGTTCAGTATAGAATACTACGGTATGAAGTTAGTCACATTGAAATTATGAGCATAGAGGCATGAGCTATTACTGTGTCTACTGAGGAGGTCTAATTTCACCATTCCAATTTTTCTCCCAAGTTTTCGATAATTTAAGAAGAATAATACAATTTCTCTTTTATTGCTTGTTTTCAAAAATACTCATCAAAAAACACTTAAAAGATAATGATCTGCTTGAGAATTTCACCAAAAGTTTGAATAAAAAAGGAAACCACAGTATTATCCAGAATAAATTTTGGTGGCCTTCTCCCCATCTCTTGCCCCAATGGTGCCTTCTGGATGCTGCAAAGCAGGGACAATTGTTAACATAACCATTGTTTTTCAGTCCTATCAGTCCGTATTTATCGATTTAAATTAAGCTAGATTTTCACAAATCGCCCATTCAAATTTTTAGTTGCATAAAAGGTTAATATAAAAACACATATTGACTTGTAGTTACGTTTATCAATACAAGTTAAAAAAAGTACTTCAGGATGATCTGATCAAGAAAAGGTATCGATGGTGATACTACGGAATCATATATCTCAGATTGCTATGTTGGAAATTTTCAGTAACATATCTATTAATTTTTTCAAGGATGACTGAATATCGGTATTCCACGTAAGGATTAATTATTAATGGAGTTGTCGAATGTGTGAGAAATTTGCGATTTGATTATTGATTCTTACGTAAAATTTTGCGAAAAACTTGATAGTGCCACTGGCTTTCCCTGAAGTCAACTCCCAAGCTCAAAAAAAGCTCTCAACGTTGAGGGCGTAATGAAGGGGATATCATATCCCATGCTATCCTGAGAGTCCACCTCTACGTAAAGACCAACTCTCCATACAAAGATAGGGAGCAAATACATTGACAGGGCTGCCACTTTACTTGGGGACTCTAAAACTAAAATCACCGCAACTCTCAGGGTTGCCGTGCTTTCAGTTACCCTGCTAATGTGTTTGCTCCCTATCTTTGCATGGAGAGTTTGTCTTTACGTAGACGTGGACTCTCAGGATCATTACAGCCTCAACTTTGAGAGCGTTTTTGGAGCTTGGGAGTTGATTTCAGAGAAAATCAGTGGGACCATCGTGTTTCTCGCGAACTTTTACATGAGAATCAATAGTCAAACCGCAAATTCTTCACATGCAGCATCTCCATTAATCCATCTCCATGTTAGGCGCTAACATTTAGCGTCAAATATTTGTCACTAACTAAACTATAAAAAAAAAGACGGGTAAAATGCCAAAAATATCGGAAAAATAACGATCTTTAGGTGCTGTGCGGGCCGCGTAAAATTTTTTTTTCCAAATCCTTTTGGCTTTACCGCGTTTTTTCTAGTAGATGGAACCATTTTAAGACCGTGCAGCATTTGATAGAAAAACACAGGTCTCCAAAAATGAAAAAAAATCTGAACACGGCGGACTTCATGGTAGACTAGATAGTTGACATGCTTCTATGTAATTTGTATTGCTGAGTTCAAAATTGACCTTAGTTTTTTTGCGTTGACTCATTATCTTCCCACAAAATTAGGTTTCTCAAAAAAAAAAAAAAAAAAAAAAAAAAAAAAAAAAAAAGGAAGTTTTTCATGGGGAAATTCAATTTTCATTCAATTTGTTTGGGAAAACGGTGCATAATATTCAAAATCAAGGTCATTTTCGGATTCAGCAGCTAAAGTTACTTAAAATCAGACTTTAATGGGACCCATCCTTCATTGTGATATTTAATTAAAAAATAAAATAGGAGCGAAAATTTTGAGTTACAGCTAAAAAAAAATCTAGTCATATGCTATTAATATTTGATAGCTTGGCCTTGGCTGTAGATGACCTACTGCAGGCGCTTAAGCATGAACCTAACTTTTATTTTCAAGGGATCCACTTCTCATTCAATCTGTCCACGTTGTGGCTCACTACACCTCTCAACACTATTACGGTCAGTGGCGTGGCGTGCTTTGTGATGCATCGATTGATCTCCCATATAAACCTATGGAAAAGGATTGATAGCCAGGGTGTTTATACCTTAATAATCGATTCTTTACCATGGCTTCAAATGGAGAAATATCGATAATCGATTAATCACGCCTCGCCACCGATTGCGGTGTGGTGAAGAATGGGAAAAAGATATGGAACCGGAGGGAAGCCTCGAAGGCATACAGCTATCACCGACTGGCCCGACCGTGGAGACAACGATGAAAGTAGGGGAAAGAGGAAAAGAGCAAGAAAATAAACGTGGGATTCCCAATCGCTGATAAGTCGTGAATGTAGAGTTGGTGCGAGAGCTATTATTCTGTGGCCACTATGGCGGTGCACTAAAGTGTATGGCGGGTTACGGAAAACTATTTTTCGCAGGAATAACGATCCCGCTTGTACTTTTACCCTACTTGAAGATGCCGAAGAGATTGAAGACGACCATTCACTATTCATATGACTTCCCTTCAACAGAGCCGTGAGGGTTATGTCCCTCGGATCAGCCACCAACGCAAGAGAAGGTTGCCCTCAAGGAAGGTGACGATTGCGAGGGATAAATCCCTCGGATCAATCTCTGACTGAGAGCTCTGGCTCTGACGAGAGAGCAAAGGAGTAGAAAAGGGGGAGGGTCAAGAATGTCACTCGTTTTTCAGCTAGATCTTTAATGATTACAAGAGGTGTGAACAAATCAGTTTCATCGAGAAAAGAATATCACGAGGAGGAAATACAACAATGGAAAATGTATCAATTGACTCAAACGATAATGCTTGGGTTTCAGCGTGGCACCCTCTTGCATCCACACACCAAGCTCTTTAGACGTCCGAAACGATACTTTGAACTGTACTGAACTCCTTGCGCTCTGCTCTCCTACCTTTCTTGTGTTTCTCTCTACTTTTGCGCAAGTGCACCTCTTGACTGCTCTGATTCGGCACTACAATCGTCATCCAGTGAACTTGACCGGACATTTTCAACCAAGACCGATTTTGATTATGGAAACTTTCATATCTCCTCACACACAGGAAGTTCGTCTTGATATAGAGCTAGACTTTTAGGGTAGCAAATTATATCTCCTCCATTGTGGCCTCAATTTTGAGGGTTTTTTTAGAGCTTCGGAGTTGCTTTCAAAGAAAACAAGTGGTACCATCGTGTTTCTGGCAAAATTGTACACAAGAATCTGGACTTAAATCGCAAATTCCTGATACAAGCAAGAGCTCTATTTGAATGAATAAAGACACTTATAACATGAGATTCACCAAATTCATTCAACAACTTGTCCCATGGTGCATAACAAATTGTTTCCTCAAAAAATTTGAGAACATGGGTGCAAGGAACAACCCCCCCCCCTTTCTCCAAGCAATGATGTTTTTCGAAAAATCAGTTCTGTCAAAATTTTAAGTTCTTCTTTGGAAGTGCCTTAGGAAATTAAAGGCTCCATAGTACTTTTACATACTGATTCAGGATTTAAATCAAAATATCTTTTTAATAAGTATTGAGAAGAAAGAAGGAGCTATTCAGGATTTAAAAAAAAATCTGGAAAAATTCCCAGGTGCTAATTCACTCCATGCTGTCAGAAAATGAATTTGGAAAAATGGGTACCACTAACCCATTTCTAATATGAACGGCAAGGTCACTAAGCAGTATTTACAACAGCTTTGTTTTTGCAGAATTTTGCATGGATCACTCTAAATGAATTGCGCAGGTTTGGAGAGCTCCTGTTGAAGCTTTTTAAATTTTTTCGGACCCTGTCAAGAGGGAATCCACCCTCATCCCCCTATATTTCTGGGATTCTATTGGATGGTAAGATCCTAAACCCTTTTTCAGAGTCGATCTGTTTTGCACACAAGTTTGCAGATCAAGAGAGAAAGCAACAGTGTATTCAAGAGATACACTGAAGATACACTCAGAAATCAAAGGTGGAAAAAAGAGAACACTTACATGATAATATTCTGTTGTGCTGATATGGATATTATAATGCTGAAACAAATCATTGATCTCCTTTAGAGTTTTTATTATCTTAATAAGTTTGCTGACTGGTGAGTTAAGTGTGCTTGAATGCCAAAAATATGCCTTCATTTCAGATGCGACCAAACTTTGAGGGTTGCGAATCATCTGAAGTAAAATTTCTGCATACTGAACTCCAATGGAGGGCCACTTTGAAGGCGCTATCTTTTCTAATTCCCTGAAAAAGAGAGCAGAAAATAAAGGAAGCTTGTACCTCATATATATTCTTTAATGAAACAGAGATTCTCCTTCCTGACAGCTTGACACTTCTCAGAAAAAAGGGATGAAAAAGTTGAACTCTGGTTAGGCAGCAAAACAAAAAGCTTGAGGCTCGAGGCTCCACTGAGACTGAACTACCAATTCTATGATTCTGAACAAAGATGAGAGCAACCCCTGTCTCAAAAAAACCTATTAAAAAAATGGGCAAAATCAAAAGAGGAAATTTTTTTTCCAATCAGATGCGATGAAAAAAAGCTTCGATCGAAACAAAATAATAAAAAACCTTGAAAATATTACACCCTACAATTATTGTACCGATTGAACAAAACAGGTCTAATGTGATGAAAGTGATGAAAGTGAGGTAGTGAGATAGATGAACATAAAATTAAACTCTTACCACACTTTTGTAAGGAACCATTCGATGAACTCAGTTAAAACTTCCGGAAAAGTGTCCAACACATGAGGTATAACTTGCTGAAGCCAAGGCAATGCTTCGACAATGGAGACTGTTGATGGAATTTCATTAAAAAGTTGTTTAACAGAATCAAAATTTAGTTCTGCTGAAATCTCATGCAAATGTCTACCCCAGATGATCTGTGACTTCCTTAACTCACCCTACGAAAAATAACAAAAAAGAAAAGTTTCTCAGTTACTATCCATTAACTTATGAATGATTCTGGAGAAGCAATATAATCTCATGCAAAAACACGAGAGAGCAAACAACTAACCTCAATTTTAGGATTCATTAAACCAAAAATAGATGGTTTCGACTATACCAAGAGCCTAGTGTGAAACCTCATATCTCCGTTTGCGACACTGTAGACTTTCCTTCATACTTTATTATTTCTATGGAAAACTATTCAACGTAATTTCTTGAAAACGTTTGTGATTTTTCTTTTGTTAGCAGTATATTCTGTGTTTAAAGTTATAAAGTTGGCTTGTTTCTTTTCGAAAAAATAATATAGGAGTGGAGATGTTTAAACACCGCAATGGAGTTCAGTAGTTTTACACTTTAGCCATCCCTATATTCCCTGCATAGCTTAATTTGCTGTGATGTTTTATTTTTTGAACACAAAACCAAGCAACACTGCCTCTGTTCTATTGGTAGATAAGTGTTCGGCAAGGACCGTTACTTTGAAAGTAAGAATGCAAACGGAAAGGACCTGTTCCAAAAACCCCAGGCACTGCGTGAAGAGGTCAGCTACGGAAAATTCTAACCAGTCCTCGATACCATGATTTTCAGGATCCAACAGAAGAAAGGTGTCAAATCGGGTAGAGTAGGCATTTGTTCTGGCTAACAGTTTCTTAACTTCTTCATTTCCAGGATCCTAAAAAATAATTAAACCAAAGATGGGCATTTAGGAATGAATCACATATTAAGTAGTTAATTAATATTAGTATTAGTGATGTATTAGTAGATATTAGTGGGAGTCACTTCTTGGCACAACTCTTCTATTAAACCTGTTTCCTTCCTAGATTTCAAGACGTAATGCTCATCGATCAATGACAGGAACCCCAAACTTGTCTTGGCCGATACGAAGTTCTTGAAAAATAAATATACTTTGCTATATTCTAAACAGCCCTCAGCTTATTAGGATGAAGCTATTTCATTGAAAAGAAAAATAGATTAGGTTTTTTCGCTATAATATGAAAAAAAGATTGAGGAAAATTCAATGGCACACACAGAGCAGTTTGCAGAAAAATGTTAGGTTGCACCTTGGCTGTAATCGTAAAAACATCCCCAAGGGGCCGTTTCGGGGGGGGGGGGCTAAAAATACTTCCATTCGATTCTTTAGGGTCAATATACCCATGAAAGTTTTCGTCCCGAAGCTCAATATCCACCGTTTTCGAGAAAAAGATAGTAGACGGGTGGTCTGGATCACCCTTTAAGTGGATTTAGTCATTTTAGTGGTGGTAGTCATCTCTAATGACTCGACAGACAATTCTGCAGCTTCCTAACAATGCTGCTTTTTGCGGTTGTTTGTACAGCTCCTACCTAAGACTGAGCTTTTGCAGGCTATCGAACAGCTTTTCAGGAACTTCTCCTGTGGCTCCAATGTCAATAGGCACAATTATCACCTTATCCAACTTCCACAGACATTTAATCTCATCAGCCAGAGGCATGTATTTGTTTATCTTCTCTGCATAGGCAGCTTGGATTATTAACTGCCAAAGGTACTGCAATGTTGATGATGAAGGCCACTTCAGCACCCTTAATAGTGAGCACTATATCCGGAACGTTGTTCAGAATGGTTTTGTGCGTGCGTATTTTCCTGTTCCAATACAGTCAGCTTTTCTAACTTTCCTTCACCTATGGAGGGTCAAACTCATAATCGGGTTTTATGTCCATCTAATCAAGATGGTCCTTAGCGAGCTCCTTGTATATAATTTTTGCCACAGAATTATGCTGTTCAAGATATTGCTTTATTATTGCCAAGATTGAACATCCGGCCAACAAATGATCAAGGTTTTCCTCTTTTACTCTGCAAATACAACACATGAAATTGTCGACTTGTCCTTTCATTATTCGCTTTTTATAAGATTTGGTCGAGACAACCTGATCGTGAATGGCAGCTATGAACCCTTTTGTCTCAACAAATGATCCCCCAGAGTGTAGCCAAGATTGCGAAGCTTTGATGTCAATCTCAGCATCATTATAAATCCTTTTAAAATATTGCCCATGAAACGGCTTGGCCTTCCACTGATCCACCATTTGCTTCGTAGTTGAGTGTTCCCACTGGACTAAACATATGGTCCTTCAACTTTAGAGGTGTGATATTGTTGTCTGCTTGCATGATGATCTGATGTAGCTTGCTGTGCTTAGCCTTATCGAGATAATACTTTCTCAGGTTTCCAACCTGCTGATGGTGCCTCCGTAGCGCGCTTGGAATTCCTGTGCCCCCTTAACCCCGCGTTAGGCTGAATCTTTCAACGCAGCTCCTTGGGTGATGTGCTTGATACTTTCTAAATTCCCTCCTTGTTGCAATATCCAAGGCGTTGAGCTCCGTGTTGGACCAGCTGAGTATGCCAAAAGTGTAGGTGAACAGAGTGGTAGCATTGGTTTACTGCCAGCGCTGTGTTCCGTTCAGAAAGTACGGACTTTAATATGGCTCTGAGTCTTCGCTTGAAATCATCAGAGACTTCACGCTTCGAGTCTTCATGCTAGATTCCTCGAGAATGCATGTATCCCAGGTACTTAAACTGGTCATCTTCGAGCATGCCTTCAATTTTACCTTACTGCTCTGCAGACTCATATCCCTCATGAGCTGCTCAATGCCCATACTCCCTCCATAATACTGCTTATTTTGAACTTGTCCAAAACCAAATTACAAATGAAAGTCCCTGCTAAAAGATCCTACCGTTTCTAGTGCAGGTCTTCTTTTCGACTAGCGAACAGTTTCAGATCATCCATGTACCACAAATGTGATATACAAGAGTCTCTGCCAAAACTCTATCCCACTCAAAGACTATTGAGCATCCTCGTCAGCAGACCTAGGGGTAAGCAGAACCGAGGCAGACTCAGAGAGTCACCTTGGAAGATGCTGCGATTGATGCTAATCGTTCATATCCTGAATTGTTGGTCCTGTGTACTTATGCCGAGCTCTGTTTTCCAACCGCCCATGGCCTGAGCCAGGAAATGCATGAACCTTTGACTGATTTCATAAATTTCAAGGACCTCTAGCAACCAGGAGTGAGGGACGCAGTCAAATGCCTTTTGATAATCAATGTTGGCAGAGAAAAGGGGGACCTTCCTATTGATGGCAGATTTGGTAATGACTGCATCGATTGCCAACTGCTCTTTGCACCCCCTTGAGCCCTTACAGCATCCTCTTTGCTCTTCGTCGAGCAAATCATTTCGCTCGAGATGTTTGTAGATTTTCTCCACGGTCACGGACGTTTAGACACTGTACATTGTGGGAAGGCACGTGATTGGCCGATACTTTGCAAGATCATCTGAGTAATGCCTAGTTATTGGTATGAGAAACCTGACACCTGTGGTCAAGAACGATGGCAGTTCTTCAGGGGACCAAAGAATCTTCCCAAAGCAACGGGCAAGCTGCGGATGAGCTGCCTTAAAATATTATAAGCAGAAATTTTGCAGCTTGTCAGGTCCTGGGGTTTTCCAATTCAGCATCTTTTTATGGCCCTCTTAATATCAGCCTCGCTGATGTTTTATTCAGTCATTTCTTCCTTGATGTTCACTGTGGATCTCACTTCCTCCAACCACTCAGCTTTGTTGTTATGGTTGACTGGCTTGCTCCGGATACCTTGCCAAAATTCTCTGGTTATTTCTATACTCGGCGTTTTATCTTGAAGAAGGTTCCCATCTACATCTTTTGGTTGGAGACTCCTGTAAAATGCACCCTGACTCTTCTTGAGGAAGCTGTTTTGTTCTTTACTTCACTATTTTCTACATTTCGCTATTTTCTACTTTTTTGATACCTCTTTAACTTCGAAGCTTGCACCTGTAACTTTTGCTTTAGGAGATCTAACACATCTGTTTCAGTGGGATTATTTTCGTTCTTGAGCTTTAACAGAATTTTTTTCCCCATCTTTGTGACTTTTATGCTAGGATATGGTCTTTAATACTCCGTTAAAATGCGGTTTTCCTTACGGAGGTCTTTAAGAGCATTCTAATTTCTGGCTTCCTACGCTGGCCTACCTTTCGCTTTCTCACGACCATTGCCACAGACGATCCATTGATTTTCTGATGATTGAGGTAAAGAACAGTAGTAGCACCTACAAACAGGCAAGTGTGCAGTTCTGGGAACGTAGTTTCATTAGGAACGATGTTTCCGAGTTCCGCTGTTTCGGCAAAATGTTTATCAGTGAATGGTTTCTTGAAAAGTCGCGGAAGTCTTGGCCTCTTCACAGGCTCTAAGTTTTTGAACTAAGCAAAAGAGCATCTTGAACACCTTAACGGTTATATATATATATATATATATAAAGTCGCTCCTACAACGCACTCTGGTGTTCTACGACACCCAAATGCCACATATGCCTGTCCTCCGAGAGGTTATTGGGCAACTGACACCACAACATCTCTTCGTCAATGCCCTACTGCCAACCCTTTACGGGACGTCCCCGTCGCCTCTTCCCAGGTGGTACCCAATCCAAAAATTGTTTGGGTAATCTCTCCTCCGACATTCTTTGCACAAGTCCATACCAGTATAACTGCCTGGACATGATGTCGTGCACGATATCTTTTTCAACCTTCATCACCTGGTGAATTCACTCATTATGGACACAGTCCTGTCTCGAAATACCGGCAGATCGCCACCAAAAATCCATTTCAGTTGCCCTCAACATTTCTTGCATTCTTTTCGTCAAAGGCCACACTTCCCTACCATAGAGCACGATACTTTTAACTATGGCGTCATATATCCGGTGCTTGTTTGCCTATAAAATGCTTTGATCCCAGAGCACCCCATTCAGCATCGCGATGGCTCTCCTGCCCTTTATTCTTGTTTTTATTATTATTATTCTCACAGACACAGACCGCATAGCAGCCAAATGTAGTGGTTAATCTCATCCCTGAATCACATAGAATCACCTTAAAACATAGAGAGCTGATCTAAATCTGTACATATTATAAAGCAATTTAAAATTATTGCCATAAATTCCCAGTACATAAATGAGGATGTGCTTCCATGTACTTGAAAATGACTGCGAGACAGATGAAACTATTATCATACAGAAAAATGCAAAAGGAATGTCATCGCTCTGTCTATCAATTTCAAAAATCAGCCTGCAGGAAGGAACCGAGTCACATCTGGCATTACCTAATTTCATTGTACAGCTGTAGTGTAGATTCTTTTGAAAATATCAGGGAATTTTCTCTGAGCTAGACGCAGATTCCCTAACATTTTTAAAAGAATCTGCACAGCCGTTCCGCTGTAAAAAAACTAGACCTAAGGTAAACTTCAGGAACATAACAAAGAGTTAGTATGTAAAGAAAATGGCTCAAAAAATCACAATGAGCGCATCAGGAAAGTCGGAAGTAAACCCCTAACTTCACAATTTGCGTAAAAAATATGTGTTTCTTTGAGCATCCCGCTTCATAAACGAATCCTTGCGCACTAGGATACTCCGCAATATTCAACATGGCTGATGCCAACCCACCAGAACACACGCAACAAGACAGGATTGTATCAACTGGCCTGTTATTATTTGCATTTTTCTTGCATTGATAAAGACCATGATGCTTCCTCACGATTTGTGCACAGCCACATTGAATATTGCGTAGCATCCTAGTGCACAAGGGTTGCATGGAACAACTCGTCTTATGAAATGTTCACATGTGCAGCGGTATCGTTTTGAATCGGGACGCTTGAAAAAAGGCATCTTTCTTGCGCAGATTGTGAAATTAAGAGTGTATTTCAGACTATCCCAATGAGCTCATCGTGACTTATGAAGCATTTTCTAACAGAATCAACTCTTCATTCTGCTCCGGCTGAAGCTTGGAACAGACAAATTGTTCGATGACATTAGGAAATGGCTGAAGTAATTTCATCCATTTCTTCTTTATGTGGTCCGACTATGTAAACTAAGACAAATTAGACAGTATGAAAGTCAGAAGAAGGAAAGAGAAATCTGAAATACCTTTGACATGTTTTCTTGCAGCCTCCTCTTAGTACGGGTGAGCAGGCAGTGGTACATACTGCTTTCAGCCAGTACAGCATTGAAAGTAAATTCTGCTATGAATTCAACATCCTGTGTAAGATTTTGAAAAAAGAATTAGGATTGGGAGTAATATCAAAATCCTTCAATGCCGGTCACATTTTCTTAAATTTAATTTTAATTTTTTTTTTTTTTAAAGTCAACTTACAGTTGAAATTTTTATGCTTCTCAAAGAATGAAAAATACTAAATATGTTGGACATTCACTGCATTGGTAAGCTTTTTCTTACAAACCTTCTCCCAGTATTTTTTCCTTTCAATTTCACACAAACATATCGACACTGAAACTCTTAAACCACGTCTCTCGGTTTGTAACTTTGTAGACTTCCTGTCATTCTTCAATTTTGGAATGGAAAACTAAGAAACGTAAATCCTTTAAAACCTCCGATATATTTCTTCTTTGTGCGAAATAAATTCTGTTCGAAAAACTTTCTGAGAAAAAAAATGTTACCAAATGGGCGCATTTCTATCAAACAGAACTATGTAATTTCGAAACTTTCAAGTAGAACAAGGTTTGCAAAAACCATTCGCGTATCTGTATTAATGAATCGATTTTCGATTCCTATGGCTTGTTGGGAAGCTGAGACATTCTTCTAAGTGTAATGCCAAAACTTCTGAATAATTTATAAGCAGCGAGATCTGGGTTGAAATGCAAATAGTTCTGTTTGCTGAATTAAAAATCCGCGGTAGCGCATTCTGTCAAACAGAACTATTGTGAACTCGGCAATCTCCGACTGCTTCCGGCTACCCTCGACGCGACCGATTCGCGGGCGGTGTTGACAGTTCATCTGAGCCATAGACAAGTTTCAGCTGGATCGTCACCGGGTCTCATTCGCTGTTTCCGCAGAGCTCCGCGGCTCCGCTGCGCGCCCGTTGATCGACTGCACATAGTTCTGTTTGACAGAACGCAGTATCACGGCTAGCGCATTAAATCAAACAGAACCACGCATAGTTCTGTCTGCATTAATTCGACATCCCCCATTCCCAGTTTTATGATTTTTCATACGCTATTCCTACGGGATGAAATGAGTTTTTTCGGGACATAATTATCCCTCTGAGTAACTTGGGTAACAGAGAACCCAAATCCGTCAAAATCTGGAAATTGAAAATTTGGCGCTTAGTTCTGTTTGATAGAAATACGTCCAAATGATGTTGATTTCTTCTCCTTCAGAAAAAAATAAAATGGTAGCAGAGATTTAAAAAAACTGAAAATGAAATTTGTGATTTGGAGGTTTCATTGTCAATATAAGATGAATCAGGTAAATGAGTACTGTGCAAATATGTAACTTTTCCAAAGATTCATTGCCAAAAGTAGCTTTGAGATCAAGCTAAACTTTTAACTGGAGGCTTATCTCATCAAAATTAATCATGGCAAGCAAGAACTTTTTACAAGATCAAACTTTTAAAATTCCGAGTGACCAAAAAAGGAGGACATATAGCCCAGGCAATAGAGGATAGAATAGGGGTTTACCTTGCAAAATTTAGGTGAAATCAGGTTATGATTGATTCCTATGTAATTTTTTACGCTGAATCCGAATTTTTGGTTTCCCAACAAATTTTCCTTGTGCTAACTCCGGAAAATCGGAAAAACCGCGAAAAATCACGTTTTTCCGCGGTTTTCCCGAGATATCTCTGTTCCAGTGCGATATATCGAGAAAATAGTTATTTCCAAAAATAAAGCTGATAAAATTTCCTATAAAAATGATCTGAACGTTTTTTTCATACGTCCATTAGGTAGAGTGCTGGAGCCGTGGAAAGCTCTAAAAATTCGTAAAATCGCGATTTTCCACGGTTTTTCGCCATTTGAGTGCAATAAATTTGTATTTTCGCAAAATTTCAGGATAGTCTTACCTTAAAAATTAATGCTGCTTACTTTTAAGACAAAAATGATGCCAATTTTTTCATTATAGGTCCATTGGGAGCGGTTTTAAAGCCGTGAAAAGCTGGAAAATCGCGATTTTCCAGCATATTTTCGTAACAAATCCGTTCCTGTACAAGAAACTCATTTAAAGTGACTTCAAAATTCAATCTTATAAAATTGTCAACATACATACGTAGAATTTGCTCCCATGGCGCGCCCTGGTGCTCAGCGACATCCAAACGCCA